CCCTCCTCTTTTTTTTTTTTTTTTCCTCCAACATGCTTCACGAAGAACCGATAAAAAACAACGCATAGGAGAAATATGTAAACCTCCATAATATATCCGCCGATGCTTTTAAGCACGAGTTATTTGCAGTTTCGTGTCTCTCGAAATGACTGATGCGCCTCTTGTCGCATGCTCGTTCATCCCTTCTCACTTTTTTCCTCGCCATTCGTTATTTCTTTTCTTCTCGTATCCTCGTTTCTTATTTTTCTGGCAGCTCGTCGCCAAGTGTTACGCCACGTATATTTCACTCATCGTTTTGTCTCGCGTTATTTCTAATTTCGTTATCGTTCCTCTTCATCCTCCTCATATTCGTCCTCCTCGAGTTTATACCTTTTGTTTCTCCTCCCTTCTCTCTCACTCCAAACGATTTTATCGTTTTCCTCATTGTACCGTTTTAATAAACGGCCAATAATTCTTCCTTCCCTCCTGCGTTACGCGTGTTCTCCTCCTTTTTTCCTTCTTCCCCAAAGTTCATTCAGTCGTTTCAGTTCTTGTTTTCAAACCGCTTCTTTCTTTTTTTTTCTCTCTCCTCTCTCTTTCTCTCTTTTTCTCCTTTCCGTCCAAACTTAATCTCCTCACCGCGTTTCCCTGATTTATTTACCGCCTCCGATCTCTCTTACTCGTCGTTTTTAATTCACTCGCCGCTTTCCCTTTCGCCCGTTCTTCCCATTCATCCCATTCATTCAACGTTTTGCGCCTTTTCGTTTAATAATTATTCGACCTGCTTTTTCTTCCCTTTCAAACCTCTTGTTCGCAATTGGAATTCTTTTTTTTTTTTTCTTTTTTTCTTTTTTTTTAATATCCCAAGTGTCGTCGGATTTAATACACCGCTCCCTTTTGCATTAAATTAAATGGTTTTCATAATGGCGATCGTACCGTCCACTCTTCCCAGACAAGTTTTTTTTTATCGTTTTTTCGTCTCGGACACGCTTTATTGTTTGCTTTATCATGAAAATTGCGTCTTCCCTCTCCCTCTCTCTCTCTCTCTCTCTCTCTGGAGAAAGGATTCTATTGAAGAATATAATAAACTTTTTCCCTTTTTTAAAATCTTCCCCGGCCTTTTAACCATTTTTCCCCAGCACATCCTTTCTCTCCGTCTTCATTCAGTTTCTTTCTTTCTTCTTCCTCGCTACGTTACTGATGAACAGGTTCATTCTCGATGCAGCTAGCACGCGTGTGCGTGTGCATTGTGTCTCTTCCGTTGCGTTTTATCTTGGTGTTATTACTACTGGGTGGTACGATGCTTTTATTGTCGTATT